TATTTAAATTTATTATCCTGTATATATACATACGAACTTGACGACCCGAAGTTATTCCATGAGCTCCATGAGCGATACTGAAAAATTCCGGTTAGCTCGCTGGAAATATTAGTGCAATGATTTGTCAGTAGAAAATCGGTGGCGCCACCGGTACAGTTACTGGCGCAGTCGGACCTTAGGCTCGATTCGCGCCCATGTGATATTTAGGAGAGTAACTCTATGGGATTACTCCCTATTTTTTCTCTCCGTGTGTGTTACGATCTATATGTCCTGATTTATTCATATTATTGAAATGTTTTAAATTATTTATTTTTCCAAGAATAAGATTTTCCTTTTTTATACATAATTTTTGTAGTTCTATAATTAAAATATTAAAATATTTTTTTTATGCCAACTTTCACTTTTATGTATAACTTACCAATTAAGTAATCAATTTTTTCATTAGTTGTTAAAAATGTATGATCTATATCTATTTAATGTAACATGCTTTCCTAGGATTCTTTTCTTGAACAATTGTGGTGTCAACATTACGTTTTGTCAATATTGCATTATCTATAATAAAAATCAAGAAAATAAGTTAATTATATTAACATTTTAGTAGATTATTAATATTTGTAAGAATAATACAATATTTTCCATCTTTATAAATAATTTTTATAGGTCTATAAATTTTGTAGGTCTATAAATGTTTAAAAATTTTTTTGTCAATTTCTACTTTTATGTATAACTCACCATCAATTTTTTCATTATTTGTTAAAATGGTATGATCTATGTCTGTTGAGAAGTATCTCTAATGTCGGATGCTTTCACAGAAGTATTCTTTTCTTGTTCAATTAATGTGTCAACATTATGTTTTCTCAACATTGAGTTATCTATAATAAGAATCAATAAAAGAAAAGTTATATCATGTTTAAACAAAAAGAATTATACATGACAAATTTATGCAGCGTTTAGAAGTGTACTGATCACAGTATACTACGTACTTGTGTACAATTTTTAAATATATAATTACCATTTTTGATACTAGTAAGTGGTGATCTGTTGATGCTGGATACTGAAGGAAACTTTGGATATTGGATGTCGGATCTAATTGCTTTTTTTCCAGTACTTTCAATTCTTTTTGATCTTTTTTTTTGGAGGATGTCCTTCACTGTCAGAATTATCACTATATTGAATACGTGCACGAGATTTTCTAGTTTTTCTTGCATTTTCTGAATCACTAATATCAGTCAGCTGTTCTGCTAAGAACACTTTTTTATAGCATTATCATAATCAGCTGTAATAAAACAGGTATTTTCATCATTTGTGTAGTATATAATGCGTATAATAAAAACTTAATATTTATTTACCTGCAGTTTCAAAAATTGTTATGACACTTAAGAATTTCCAATTTTCATTAAGTTTTTCTTTTTAGAGACAGCTTTTAAAATTTTTCTTTCATCATATGGAGGCCATTTACATTTTGTCTTGTCTGCACTTAACCAAATAGTTGGAATAGCAAATATTCCATCATCAAATTCAACAATTAAATACATGGAAATAGTTTTATTTTTAACTATGTAGTAATGAAAAGAGAATCTGGAAAAAAATATTTACAAAAACAAATTTTACCACGGCTGCGTTCCAGAACCACGCTCTTAGCGCTATGAACATGTTCTGTCCTTGGTCAACTTTCTGTAAGTAACAAAGATAGAATCACGCTCGAGCATTAAGAGCGTGGTTCTGGAACATAGTTCAAGAATATATATTATATTAGTCTAATCAAATTTTGTGATTAAATTATATTTTCTCACGATTTGTATTACGGAATACATTGTTATAGTACATCGTCAGAATTCTTGCAACACCTTGTGCTTATATATCATAAACAATTCAATATATTGGTTTAATATATCATCTAAATGTAACAGTTTTTCTTAAGCACTGAATATGAGAAAAATATATAACATAACACTTTCTTCGCCGAGCTTTTGGAAACTTATTTATGTATTTTAATGTGTAGAAAAGGAATTTGTTTTAAAAATTGTTACTCTTGTACCATTTTTATCTGTTGCGATTACAACAAAAATACATCAAATAAATCTGTTTCAAACAAATCGGTAAGACAATCGAGTGTTACACTATAAATTTATCTACCATAATTTTGTCTAACATATTTTTTTATTCTTACTGAGAAACAGTATGTCCATACATAGAGATCAAATAAAACATCGCCATTACCGTGCAGTCAAGCAAATCGCAGCCTTTTTTCTGTTATCTCTTGGGTGAGGGAAATTAAGTGCCTTCTGCTTCTCCTTTGGGCAATACGACACGTGTTCCAGTTCTAAAATTCTTTATGAACTTCTTTCTTTTAACCTCTTAAACGGATTATTAAACAACCTTGCGGACTTTTAATCCTTAAACTTTCCTAATTCCTTTAAACAGGGAACCTCTTAAGGATGTATTGCATCTATTTTCAAAGCGCTACCAAGTGGATAAAAATTTGTAAGAATGTTCTTTTAGTCTTCCTGATGTGCTACAAAAAAAGTAGAAACAAATCCACTAAACGGTTGCTGAGATATAACGATTTTAATTTTCACTGATTTTACACGTATTTTTATGGGAAGAGACGATTTTGACGGATAAAACAGCTAAAAAAATGTTGAAGGAGCGCTACCAATATTTGGAATTTTTTTATACATTTAGTATACGAATAGATGAAACTATCTGTCAAGTTTCAATTGTCTTCACTACACCGTTTTAAAGAAATAAATTAATAATTAATGATAATTAATAATTAATTAATAATTAATAATTAATTATTAATTTTATTAATAATTTGACGTTATAAAGTTGAAATCAGGGCATATTTACTGCCAAAAGTTTAGGCTCATAAATTACAAAAATCGCAAATAATACTGGAAAAAACATTTGTAAAGTAAAAAATACCTTTGTAGGAGTAAAAATAAGACTCCTACTATCATTTGAGTATCTTACATCTAGATTTACTATGCGTTAGGCGTAGATATTCAAGTATTTCAAATTTCATGCACTTTTGTCTAAGATTGTACCAGTGATACATCCTTAAACGAGGTATACGCAGGAAGATCATGAAGGCCGAGATCGAACCATTCGAATCTCGTAACGGATATAAATCGCCGTGGTACTACGACTCAAATCAGAGTCAGAAATCCATTGGGTCAAAGGTCAAAGGAACGGATCTTTCAATTTGTTATGATCTTTGTGTAAGGCCGTGAGTTACGACCTTTCATTCACTCACAGCTATCTTGCTTGGTTAAAAGCATAAATTTAATTTCACTTAAAAAAAGAGGAACTGAAGAAACTGAAAAATAAGAAAATAAAATAGTATTAAAAAAGATGTGCGTATATAATCGATCGCGTGTTAAAGAGCCAATTTCACCAACCACGGTTAGCTTAACCGACGGTTAAAAGTTAGCAGGGTGGATTTATTTATAATTCTTGGTAAATCCTGTTAACTTTAACCGTCGGTTAAGCTAACCGTAGTTGGTGAAATTGGCCCTTACTATAATTTAATGAATGCTATACCATGCTATTCATCGAGAGTCACCCCAGTCAGTAATGCAATATCGCAATATTACAGATAACACTTCACAGTTCACAGTTCACACAAAGCCAGGCATAGCGAGACTGCGAGATATATGTTCTCCAGGTTTTCCTCTCACTTCGACAGTAACGCGGATTGTGCAAAGACAGTATACATAACCTACATATGCAAAATGCACATGCGCGCGTACGCTCTTTGGAAAACTTGGGCTGCGTTCGGAAACGTTTTGAGTGCACATGAGTATACTCCCTTCTCTTTCTTAGTCGCTAAAATAGAAAGAGAAGGGAGTGTACTCATGTGCACTCGGGACATTTCCGAACGCAGCCCTGAAAGGGCCGACTCGACCGAGTCGGCGAGTCCGCCGAGTGAAGGTGCGTTTTCACTCATGTCGAGATGTAGGCGACATCATATATCG